GTAATGGACGCGGAACGCTGAGGAACCAGCTGAGTATCGGCAAAGTATGTATCAGGGTTCTTAAGTAGTACCTGCGTTTCTATTAGGGGTTAATCGTTCAAAACTGATCTCAGCAGTGTTTATTCCACAGAGGTTTGGAGGGAATCCCGGAGGACTTTTCTCAAATTGAGTTGAGTTACAGTGGCCGGGGATGAGACAGCTGTCGCCTCCTACTGAAAAAAATAAGCATCTAGACCCGGGGTCGGCAACCTATGGCTCGCGAGCCAAATATGGCTCTTTTAATGATTGCGTATGGTTCTTGCAGAAACTTCCGGCTTTGTGATTTTGGTTACACTTTATGGGTCTAAGCAGTGGGTTGTACTCGGATCGCTACAATCATCAGGCCAAATCCCACGTTGGAAGTTAAAAGGCAGAAGTCACCAGAAGGAGTGATTTATTATGTACAGAACTCTCAATTGCTGTCCAAGGTGACAGTGGTCACTGGCGAGGCCAGGGCTAGTGTTGACAGAGTCCAGCCAGACCTAAGAGAGCTTTAGACAATAGTGACAGCTGGTTCAGTAAGATTGCGGAGCAGGTTCAAGTGCTGGTGTCTTGCAATTGCCCGAGGGGATGTCGCCTGCAGAGATACTTGCTGCATCGGACGAAGGGTTGGGTATTCAAATGGCCCTTAGGTAGGTGTGCTTATTTGGCGCGCGTGTATGCTCGGGTGTTTGCGTGACTGAATAAACTGCGGAACACTGTGCGGGCCGCCAGAAAACCGAAGGAAAGAAGACGCTCGCGCAGCTGTTACCGGTTAGCCAGAAGCAGCTGCGAGGTCAAGCTTCGGGGGACGGGGGTGTCAGTGAAAGAGAGCATTGGAACAGTTGTTTGTGACAACGCATGACTTTGGGGCAGCGGGTCTTGGAGAACGAAGGGGGGCAGGCATTGGGGCCGTCCGCCCAACCTCCAATGACGTGCCGCCGCCGAGAGGCGTATTAAAATAAATCGAAGCGGCGACAAGCTCGCTAGATAACACACACTGAAAACAAAGATCTTCGGAAAACTGAGTTGTACTCGTGAATTTTCGAAGAGGTATCACTTTTTCGTCGTCAGACTAAATGAAAAGTGAGGGCTGGTAAGGTCGCACTAGAGGTTTTGGGGGCAGAGGTTACAACGAACGGGGTGCGATTGGTCGGGAGGGTTATGGTCAGGTGAATCCTGCGGCGATAGGTCGTGCTGGTGAGGGGAGGGAGGTGTTAACGTTTGGATTGTGAGCCAAAATGACCTTGTGGACTAATAACTTGATCCTACCATCTGACTGCTTTCGTTCATCAGGAGGAATATTCTTAGTGTAGATCGCACATCTTTGAGCGCTACACACTCTCTCTCATTTGCACAAAGTTAACCTCTGCAGCAAAGACGATGGCGAAAAGAAAAAGATAATAGGAGTATCGTACATTTCAGGACGAATGGGCCGAAGAATTCGCCTTTGTATAGAGAGCAGGTTATGCGGTATGTTTTTATCTTCAATTACAAGATTACATCGATGAAACGGTCGAATGTAAGGCGCCACTTCAACACACGCCATGAAGTGGCGCCTTTGCGTCAAAATACCCTGCCGAAAGAAAGCATTCCAAGAACAGGATGCAGACCAGCCAGAAGCAACTCCGCGTATGGACCCAGCAAGGTGAGCGTAACTCCGCTAGCTTTGGTCGATCTTTAGCAATAGTTAGGAACGGAAAACCATTCACAGATGGTGAGTTTGCTAAAACCTTCATGCTGGATGTAGCCAATAAACATTTTGATGATCTTCCGAACAAAGACAAGATAATCAAACGGATACAGGACATGCCTTTGTCGGCAAAAACTGTTCATGAGCGTACCATCATGATGGCAACCCACCTCGAGGAAACACAACTGGAAGACATAAATGCAGCACCGTTCTTTCCCCTGGCTTTGGGTGAGTCAACAGACGTAAGCCATTTGACGCAGTTCACTGTGATTTCAAGATATGCTGCTGGTGATACACTACACGAAGAAAGTCTTGCGGTTCTGCC